AGTCGGCTGGGATAGACTCCAGCCCCCCGCAACCCTAGTGAGGATTAAGCGGTGTATAGATAATGGATGGATGGATATTTAAATATTTTAAGACCTCCCTGACCCGCTGAGAAGACTTCTACTCTCACTGCACACATGGCTGGAAAAAATACTGAAGAGTGGTTTTATTACTGCTGCTTTCCCCTGATCATATTCAGCAAAACAATGAGCGCAAGAGATAAAGATTTGTGTGTGTGTGTGTGTGGGTGTGTGTGTGTGTGTGTGTGTGTGTGTGGGTGGGTGTGTGTGTGTGTGTGTAACCCCCCGGCTTTGTTCCGCAGCAGAGAAGTTGCAGGTTGAATATCAACTAGAAATCAAGCCCTCTAAACGACGCTTTCATCTGATGGAGAGCAGCTCATTAGCATACTAATTAGATTAATTAACTAAACCACATCTCACTTTTACAGTATCTGCTCACGCTAACCGAAGCTAACTGTTGCTGCAGGTAGCAGGGCGGCGAGGGAGATATCGCCGGCGCGGGAGTGCAGGCGGCGCAGGACCATTGTCGTTCAGTTCAATTGATATTTAATGAGAGAAAAGCCTCGATGCTGTCGCCGGCTTTGTTGCTGTTATCTGCATTTCTGTTTCTCGGTGAGGGTTTTCATGTGAAGAGGCGGTTCACTCCCGTACTAATGCAGCAGCACTAAAAATTAAACCTGAATACAGTGAGCTGAGCTGAACCTGGGAGAGAAATACAGTCGATCATAATCATATCTGCTGCAAGTCGGTTACATAAATCAAGAAAGCATTTAAAACGGTGTTAATACATTGCGCTGGAAATGTGAAAACATAATTAATTAGATGCATGTTATCTCCCCAGGTGAAGGAACGGATAATGATGTTCATGTTTAAAGCCCCTGCTGGATGAATTAGAGCTCGTCTCAGGACGGTGTGGACCGACCGCACTTGACCGGCATCACTCTCACCCTCCTGTTGGTTTAATTGCACCTGTTAGGTTGGGAGACTTGTCTGTTATGATCCTTATTAGCAGCATACAGAGCTCGGTGATGCTGCATCATTCTTTTGGACTTCACATTTCTACACTGAACCAGCACTGTGGCTGTCATTTTCACAGTGTGGTGAGAGAAGTGTTGATTTGATTTCTGACCTGGTAACATGTTGTACAAACCACTTGTTTCTAGTATAATCTAAACTTAAAACCTTTAAAAAGTGTGCAACCCATGAACATCTCTCAGATCTTTGTGTTAGGTCATCTATTCATTTTTATTTCACTGTACCTCCGTGAGGATTCGTCTGCAGCCACATGTAGGTTTACGTTACTCTGAGGTGATACGGAGGAGCTGGCTGAGGTCGATTACAACAAGCGAACAAGGGTGGGTGTTATCAGTTCAACTGTGAATCACTTTGCTCCTGATAGAGAGGATTTTACATCATACTTTCAACAGTCCAATTAGCACTGAAGACGAGGTAGACGGATGAAGTGCAGCGGAGAGGAGAACAAGACAGTCGGCTAATGAGGAAAAGAGTTTTTCAAATGCATCAGAGACCGAAGATGAACAGAAAGTGTCGGGATGAAGAGGTGCAGCCTCACCAGAGTAATCCCCCTCGCTTTGGCAAAACCGCGGTTGCTAGGCAACCCCAAAATATGAATAGGCAGGGGACCATCCTGTGAACGGGCCCATCATTTATGGATGAGTTACAACACAAATCGCACACAGACACACATGGTTTGGCTGAGCTTTGGTAATGCCACTGTGACCATCTGACATCTCAACACCAGCCAGATAAACTGGCTGCGAAACCTGCAGTGTGTGTGTGTGCATGTGTGTGTGTGTGTGTGTGTGTAGCAACACTAACAACATGTACAACAACAGGCCAAATCCCACCCTATTCACCCAGGACTCAATGCAGGGATTACAGCGCGTATCGCCTTACAGTGTGTTTGTGTGTCACTCGCACATTCCAGACAACAATCGCATCATCAATCACGCATCAGTCGGAGTCAAATTTCACATTTCTCGGCACGTTCGTGGCTTCTCTCTCTTTTTTTTTTTTTGCCTCCGTCTTCCCCAAACAGCGTTATGATATTCTGTCAACATTCATTTTCAAGTTTTCCCCTCACAACAAAAACTCACTTCCTCTATTCCTCCCTTCTTCCTGGAACTTCAAAGAGCTGTCAGGAAAACAGCGAGCAGAACAAGGAGGGCTTTGAAGGTGAGCGGGTGAAGGATGGGTGGGGATGGGTGGGGCTGGTCGGGGCGCGGCGACGGGGCAGGTAACTCAGAGCTGCGTTTTTTTGCGGCGTTTTTATTGCGCAAGAAAGCGAGCGAGTACCATCCAACAAACGTCATGAGCTAGATTGAAATTAATGATGCTTTTCAGACACGTGTGTTGCCCTTTGTGTGTGTGTGTGTGTGTGTGTGTGTGTTACCTTGGATACAGCCCAACTCCACTCTCCTGTAGCTCCCCGTCGGTGATGGTAAAACAATTACAAACCACCTAAAGGAGAGAAAGAGGATAAAAAAAAAAAAAACATGGAGACAAAAGAGAAAGTGATTATTTGTTAAATTGCTTCAGGGGACCGAACTAGCTTTCATCACATGTTCTGAACATTTTTTACATATCTTTCGACACCTGCAAAACCCCAGCGGCGCTCAGACTGAAACATGACATGCTTTGAGATGAAGAGACTTCGACTGGGTAAAATTACCACCTGGTTATTTTTTTGAACCAGGAAAAATTTGGTCTTTAAAAGAAAATAAAAGGCTTTCGAAAGAAAAGACATGCCTGTAATATTTTTCGCTAACGAAGTTGAAAAAAAACAGCGAATCATGTGGAGTGATGTTAATGGAGCCAGAGAAGTGGGTTTGTTTCCTTAACACTGTGTGAAAATGAGAATGTGAAAGAAAACGTCTCACACGTAAAGACGGTATTCTATAAGACTGCACTGAAGAGAACAAAGAAAAAAATGTTTAAGAGCTGCTATGAAACCACTTGTAACGTGAAGATGAAATTGGAGCTGGTATTTCTCCTTGGCGACAGTAAATATGATAAAAATCCAGCACAATTTAAAAGCAGTATTTTTTATATAACACTGTTCTATTCTATTACTGTTGATATAACCTAGGTATAGGCATCAATATAATTTAAACTTTATGAAAACCTGCATCAATCATTTTTTAGGTGTTTTACTGAAAAGTCATGAGCAGCTTTTCTTGTTCGGGGTTGTTTTCTGTTTGGGTTTATTTTTTTGCAATGTAAGTAAAATGGCTCTAGGGTGGCAACGTTGCTCAGCTGGTTGCTCGAGACTAAAATATTAAACACCTATTTGTATTTTGTACCAGACATTTTATGGTTCCAAAGGATCCAAAAGACTACAATGATCCCTGGAAATCTGACTGTTCATCCAACACCAGCTAAAAACTAAAGACATTTCTATCAGCATTACAAAGCACCACTTACTACTACTAGGTTAATGTTAGCAGGCTAACATGCTAAACTAAGAGGGTAACCATGGTGAGCATTAGATACACTCACCAGCCACTTTATTAGGTACACCTGTCCAACTGCTCGTAAACGGAAATTTCTAATCAGCCAATCGCATGGCAGCAACTCAATGCATTCAGGCATGTAGACATGGTCAATACGATCTGCTGCAGTTCAAACTGAGCATCAGAAAGGGGAAGAAAGGTGATTTAAGTGACTTTGAACGTGGCATGGTTGTTGGTGCCAGACGGGCTGGTCTGAGTATTTCACAAACTGCTGATCTGCAAGGATTTTCACGCACAACCATCTCTAGGGTTTACAGAGAATGGTCCGAAAAAGAGAAAATACCCAGTGAGTGGCAGTTCTGGGGGCGCAAAAGCCTTGTTGAGGTCAGAGGTGAATGGCCGGACTGGTTCGAGCTGATAGAAAGGCAACAGTAACTCAAATAACCACTCGTTACAACCGAGGTATGCAGAATAGCATCTCTGAACACAAAAAAAAAAAGAGGCAGTTCTGAAGGCAAAAGGGGGTCCAACTCGGTACTAGCAAGGTGTACCTAATAAAGTGGCCGGTGAGTGTATACTAGCATTGTCCTAAAGCCATTTTCCACTGCAGGAGATTTCCAGCTGTTTAAGGGCTTGAATCTTTCATCGAGCATGTTCTGATCGCAGGAACCATCTCTGTTAAGTGTGTCCATTATAACTTGGAAAAGGTGTAGGATAAACACATAATTTCTTATTACAATCAGATAGGAACCCATAACAGAGATGTGACATTTGACCTTGGACAAGGTTAAACTCAAGGTTATAAATCTGAGGTGCTTCGCCGTAGTTACAGCGAAACACTTCCCCTCCATGCAAAATATCAGACTAAGTTCTTGTTACATTATGCACCATTTTAAGGCAAAATCAAGGCAAGTTCATTATCAAGTAGGTGCACAGTGAAACTCAGAATCAGGTCAACATGCATACATTGGTCAACTATGTCCCTCTACTGAGGTCTCTCTAGTTCAGGTTGTTTTTGGAGTAGAAAAAAAAGTAGCTCCTCTGGAACGGGTATTTGTGAGAAAACCCTTCTTGTGTAGCCTGATGCTGATTGGTTTAACTCAGAGAAGATAAATGTTGATTGGTTGGATGTGAAGATCATAAGCATTTTTCTTTTCCTTGTCTTCTCTTGCATCAGCACCGTAAAATTCCGCACAGAGGCTAACACTACAAAACTCTGTTCTAACATTTCCTACGTATTCATTAAAGTGGAATTAGGTCCAGTAACTACTCGTCATCTGAGTTAAAGCTGCAGTTGACAGAATGGACAGCTATGTGACTGTGTGGAGATACTACATTTGCCAAAAAAAAACATATTGCATTACAATCGCTGACTTTAGCTTTAAATTTAGCGACTTTTAGGACTATTTTATTTTGAAACAAATGAAAAATATAAATCTTTTCACCCTGTTTTATATACATGTAAGCAAAACCTAAACCAACAGTTGATGGTGACAAGAGTTTTTCTCTTGTTAGCTTTATCACAAATCACCATTTCAGATATGCTTTACCGTCTATCTCAACCTGCAGCGACGCATCAGGGTGCTGAGCGTGATGCAAAACACACATGTCAGGAACAAATTAATTAATGAGCCAAAGCTTTCAGGCAGCAGAGGGAAAAATTTCCAACTAGGCAGAGGGATGGTTTGTTTCTTTCAACTGGCAGAGTTGGCACAGACATGGTTTGAATAATAAGATGCCTGAAGAAGTTGTTTTAAAGGAGAAAGACAGGGAGAGATGAGAAGTGAGAAAACATCAATAAACACACTAAAAACATAAAATAAGTTAACAGAGGAGTGAAAACCAAAAGAAAAAAAAGAAAAAAGAAAAGGAAATGAACAGCACTGTCTTTGATGTGTCAAATACTGCGCTGATGCTGGTAAACAAGTGTGTTTGTGCATGTGTCGGTGGCCGTGGTGTGTTTGTGTGTATTTTTCTTTTCTGCCCCGTGCATAAAGTAGAAAAACAACTAAGTTTGGTAATATTAGTATTCAGTGTGTCAGATACAGAGAGAGACAAACACGCAGAGAGTGGAGGTAAGCTTTAAAAAGAGAGCCGCAGACAGATGTTTCCCATCCTGCTGATATTTGATTCAAATTGATTCGATTTGAATCTGCAGTTGTAATAAACACCATTACAGCCGGGCCTCGTGGGAAATGAGGGGTTTTTTACTCCACTCATTCACCGCAATGTGCAAAATCTTTGTCAAAAATCGTCCTCCCTCGCTCTGTCTCTTTCACGCAAACCTACAAACTGTGGTTTCTTCATCTCATGCTCACTTCATTGTTATTCAGCTCCTCTCACGGACATTCATCATCGGTGCCATAAAGCATGCGTTACGGTGGGGGGGGACAGATACATCATGGAGCAGAGCCATATGTTATATATGAATTACTATACATCAAAACAGAACAACAGTTAAGTTCATTCATTGCGTTTCCATTTGATAAAATAGATGTCGCCGACGATAGAAACATACAGATGATTAGGACGAGGTCTGAGGTGCAAACATTTTGCTGTTTTTGGTGAGAAATGTGGAACATCTGAGCGTAGCAGAGATAAATATAAATATCTGCTATCCTGTTATCCCTATTCCCCCATCCCTACTCTCACCCAACCGGTCGAGAAAGATGGCCGCCTTTCCTGAGCCTGGTTCTGTCTGAGGTTTTCCTTCCCGTCCCATTTGGGGGAAGCCGACCGCTTGCTCAGAGGGAATCCAAAGTTAACTGTGGATTGTTGGGTTTTCTGTTTAAAATTCATACGGTCTTCACCTTACTATGTTAAGAGCTGCTAGATGACATATGTTGTGAATTGTGCCATATAAATAAAACTGAATTGAATTGGGGCTGCAAGGTGGCGTAGTTGGTAGCACTGTTGCCTCGCAGCAAGATGGTCGCCGGTTCGCGGCTGTGTGGAGTTTGCATGTTCTCCCCGTGCAGCGTGGGTTCTCTCCGGGTTCTCCAGCTTCCTCCCACACAGTCCAAAAACATGTTGAGGTTAATTGGTGATTCTAAATTGTCCATAGGTGTGAATGTGAGTGTGCTTGGTTGTCTGTCTCTAAGTGTAGCCCTGTGATAGACTGGTGACCTGTCCAGGGTGTCCCCTGCCTTCACCGTAAGTCGGCTGGGATAGACTCCAGCCCCCCCGCGACCCTAATGAGGATTAAGCGGTGTATAGATAATGGATGGATGAATTGAATGTTGTAGTATGTAATGCTTCCAGCTAAACACTGGTTTCATGCTGTGTGTGAGTGTATGTGTGTGTGTGTCCCAAAGTCCAAAGCATGCCACTTTCACACAGTAGAACCAAAATTCTCATTATTGATTAAGATTGTCTTGATTAATCCATTTTTTTGGATGGTTTATAAAACACCAGAAAACCTACAATTTCCCAGAGCTAAAACCAACACCTTCAAAAGTTCTTGTTTACTTTGGAAAAGCTATAAATAAAGCAACAAGGTCTCAGGTTTGAAGAGCATGTGTCATATGGACCGAACAGAATAAAGATCAAGGAAATTAAAATTAAAAATGCTGCAAATGATTTCGCTGCTTTAGACGCTCATAAGTGTACATCGGATCTATTCATAGGAGGCTGCTGACATAGATTAATCTGTGGGCGTCATCACTGAAGGACACTCAAGTCTGCACTTCAGTGGTAACACATTATTACTAAACCACAGCGAAAGAGAAAATAAAGTGAAGAGGAGGGTCTGGAAGCTGCTTGGATGACATGCATTGACCCTTTGAGATAAACTGCAATTAAAAAGATCACATAAAGCGCTGCGTGAGTCAGATGGCGGGGATAACTGCGACTATGTTTTGTAATATTTCTGCCACATTATCTACCTGTCTCCTGTATTCAGACGGATATTTAAGCCCTCCAAGGTTCACACCTTATTAGGAAAAGGCAGCGCCGGTTAGTGACAGCACAAATTCAGGGAAGAACATTTAAACAAACAGTGGTAGGGCG